TGTGTGTGTGTGTGTGAGAGAGAGAGAGAGAGAGAGAATGTGTCTGTCTGTGTGGGTGGGTGGGGGTGGGGAGATGCCAGCATGCCAGCAGAGTCAAGTTAGGAATTTTCCAAATTTTGACACGCTGAGCTCAAAAAAGATTGCCATCCAGTTATAGAACAAATATAAATCGAAACCTACCCAATTTTTCAGATTTCCTCCATTTTCTTTTCTGATAAGTGACTTTAATACAACCTTGCCAGTCAACCATCTGCTTGCCACGTCCACCATCATGCTCACCTGAGTCAAGAGGGATCCAGAATGCTGGGATGTTGGAATGTCGTAGACGTCATTTCTTTTCTCCAGAGCTGATGCCCATGCAGCTCTTGGAAGAGTGAAGAGGTGCTTGGGAGAAGAAGGGGGAAATTATGAAATCAAAATGACACCAATATTACCTGTGGACATATTATGAGATGTTGTTCATTCAAGTGATGCTGGATCAGTATTTGTTAACCAGTTAGTAAAAAGTTGTTTCTCCTACAGACAGCTATTAACCTTGAAAAATATGTGTTGTTTGCTCATGAAATTGCTGTTGATTTTTTAACTAACCTATTAATTGCTGGTGGATAAAACTAAGGACACACAAAGGAAGCAAAACATCCTTTGTGATTATTGAATAGTGCTCAAATTAGAGAATTCAATCTAGTGAAAAAGTACCAATAATTTATGCTGCTTCATTTTGTCTGATCAGTCAAGGAAACTAGATAAACCTGAGATTTGTTTTACAATTAGGTTTGTTATTGACGGCTAAAGTTTGCTAGCTGTTTAGAACAAAAAACATAAAATCAATTTAAACTTTGTTAAAATTCAAATGATCAACAATTAAAGTCTCTATAAAATGATGCGTTGGAGTATTTTAAAAGGGTGGCTAATGGATCATTTTTATTAACTTTTGACCACAATTCAGCCCAGAATTTCTGTTGCTAAGTGGGATAATTATTAAGTGAGCTTTGCCCCATTTTGTGAACTTTCTTGCCACAGATATCAAGTGAATCAATGCAGTTGTTCCGTTAGTAACACACACACACACACACATATATGTATGTATATAGTGTGTGTGTGTGTGTGCGTCCGTGTGTGTGTGTGTGTGTTTAATGATCTAAGTGCTAGAACCCACTGTAACTACATAGCCAAAAAGGCATTAAGAGTTATTAACCTAATCCTGCATACCTTTTTCTCCGGTAATATGGCACTACTAACTACAGCATACAAAACATTTGCTAGACCAATACTTGAATACAGTTCATCAGTCTGGAACCTGTATTACATATTGGATATTAATACAGTCGAGAAAATCCGGAAATATTTCATGAGAAGAGTTCTCCACTCCTCTACTCGTAGCAGAATACCTGATGCCACCAGAGTTGAAATTTTAGACCTCGACAACCTAGAACTATGACGCCTTCGGTCCAATCTAAGTGTATTACATAAAATTGTCTACTGCAATGTCCTACCAGTCAATGACTATTTCAGCTTCAACCACAATAATACAAGAGCACACGGATACAAATTCAAGGTAAACCACACCAAACTTGATTGAAGGAAATATGACTTCAGCAACAGAGTGGTCAATGTCTGGAATACTCTACCTGACTCTGTGGTTTCTTCCCCAAACCCCAAAAACTTTAACCTTAGACTGTCTACTATTGACTTCACCCCTTTCCTAAGAGGTTAACCATAAGCGCACCCAAGTGCCTACCATCCCTGTCCTATTGTTTCATTTTATTCGTATCCATTTCATGTATTCATAACCATGTTCATACATATACCTGTTATTTAATATTTGCTTGACAAATAAAATAAATAACATAAATAAAAAATAAAATGTGGCTTCCCCCATTGACTTGGCTTATCAGAAGGTCGCAAAAGGGGATCATATGACCTCAGGATGCTGCAACAGACAGAAATATGAATCAGTTGCCAAGCATCTGAATTTTGGTCATGTCACCATGGGGATGCTGCAATGGTCATAACTGTGGAAAACGATCATAAAGTGCAGCTTTCCAATACCACTGTAATTTTGAATGGTCACTAAAGGAACTATTGTAAGTTGAGATCTACCTGTACACCAGATTTCTTAAATGACCTTTAGTAGGGTAGACATTCATAGAGAAAAAGGCATTCCTTTAACTAAGTGACATAAATAACCACTCATAGCCATCTTCCATGTTCAAAGTACAGTAGATCCATGCTTACTTGTGTAACTGTAGAAGTGCAGGTTTTACAATGAAAAAGACACAATTCCCAATTGAGTAAAGGTAAAAGTAAATGTATTCTGAGTGCAGTCGTTTCCAACTCTAGGGTGCGGTGCTATTTTTATTTGCAGGATCTAGCATGGTCCAAAGACATTTTCTGTGGACATCAGAGGTGGTATTCAGCAGGTTCTGACCAGTTCTGGAGAACCGGTAGCGGAAATTTTGAGTAGTTTGGAGAACTGGCAAATATCATCTCTGACTGGCCCCACCTCCATCAATTCTCTGCCTCCCAAGTCCCAACTGATTGGCTGGGTCTTCTTTTATTGCCCTGCACAGGAGAACAGAGCTGGAAATCAGGTTAGTGGGGTGGGGAGGGAATGGGATTTTGCAGTAACCTTCCCCCAGGAGTGGGGAGGGATTGGAGATTTTGCAATATCCTTCCCCTGCCACGCCTACCAAGCCACGCCCACCAAATCACACCACACCCACCAAGCTATGCCCACAAAACCAGTAGTCAAATTTTTTGAATCCCACCACTGGTGGACATGTGGCCAGCATGACTATATGCCGAGGCACATGGAACACTGTTACCTTCCTACCGAAATGGTACCTATTTATCTACTTGCAATTTGCATGCTTTCGAACTGCTAGATGGGCAGGAGCTGGGGCAAGTAACAGAAGTAGATACTCATTAAAACGAATCTTTAGTCACTTTACCAATCTTTTTTAATTACAAAAAAAGGAAAGGAAGGAGAAATACAAATTTCTTGATTTTAAGTGTGCTCTTCCTTCTGCCCCATTCCAAATTAAAATTGAATGTGGGGAGATATTGAAGATCTGAAACGTATTGTTGTTTGAGGATAACAATATCTATATAATTCAGTAATGCAGGAAAACCACAATAATCAGCCAAAAAAACCCTATCATGATGAAGATGGGAGAGGCAGTGACAAGAGAAATGATATAAAAGTTGCAACACCGAGGAAAGAACCTTGGTCTAGACTAGCCTATCATTCATTTCATGAATGAACAGAGAGGTTTAAACCAAGATCTCCTTGAACCTATTCTAGTACTCTAACGAGTGTACCACTTTGGTATTAAATACTAGTGACTCTTCAAAGCTAGATTTTGAATAATTCTCAGATACTCCTCTTAAAATTTTGATTGGGCTAAGAAATCTGATTTAAATACATGCAAAGTTTACAATACACACTAGCACTTGCATTTCTTTCATCGCATATAAAAACAGATGCGAAGAAGATATAAAACATTTCATGCAAGGGTCTGAAGAACAGATTAGATGTACAGATGTTAATTTTACAGGTGTTTAGTGGTTAAATTATAAAGAAGTGAATGGGTTTTTTGAGGGTGGGGGGGAAGCACTGTGTTGTGAATTATCTGCTGTTTAGTAAAAAATTTCAAAGAAGAAACACCAAGGATTGAGGCATATGCCAAATGTCATTTTAGACTCTAAAAGAGATGGATAGCAGTCTGGTTAGTTGTCAGCAACAGCTGATGCTACTACAGCTGACTCTGTGTGAGTCTAGCCCACTGCTCTATTTCTGTTCCTGCACTAGCCAGGCATTTCACCACATGTGTTATTTAAGCATATGTGTTGTGGTGAAGAATTACCACAGGACATTTGTTCTCTGTGGAAACAACTGCAGTCATAAACCAGATGTAGCCTGAGAAAACTTTATGTTCACAAAATTAACATTGAAAGCTTGGTGGTTGTTGTGTTTTTAAAACAACTTCTCTCACAGAACTGATAAAGCTAGTTATAATTACCATACTTTATCAGCCTTGTCAAGTGCTTAAGATTATGGACTTATCAGATCAGCCCATAAAGGCCACCTAGCCTGCCATTCTACTTCCAATAGCGATTCAAGTAAAGAATACTTGAAAGCCAGGCTGATGACATTGTCACTCGAGGGTACCTGATTGCAAGATGGGTGGTATACTACTATTACTACTACTACTACTACTACTACTACTAATAATAATAATAATAATAATAATAATAATAATAATAATAACTACAATAATAAATTAATTATTATATATAAGCTTATATCCTCCAATGCTACCTTAACAATTCCTAGGTCCTTAATTAGGACTCGAGCTGTTGAGCTACCAACCAGCCCCAAAGGCTGTGAATCTCACCAAAGATTAACCACCATAATAAATAAAAAAATTAAAAATTGTTAGGGCATTTCTTTTGTTCTTGGTTTGGGGTTTCCTGGTGTTCTTAAGAAATTTTTCATTGCAACTCTCATATTGCCCAGAAAGTATATGGAGTTTATGGAAATTATATTCCAAAACATCTGGAAGAAATTGGGTTACATAATTCTGTGCTTTTTTTTAAACTCCCCAAGAACTCATAGCAGAGGATATTCCAATTTCTGAATGTAGATATTAAATATTGGGCTCCCTTGATTTGAATTTCACAAAGATACTATCTAATATGTGAGGTGCTTCCTTTGTTATTGTAAATTATTGCAAGAATTGTTATTATTGTAAACCAGTTGTCCCCAATTTGGCTTCTCCCTCTAGATTGAGCCTACCCCAGTTGGGAGGAGGGTTCAAGCAGACAATTAATCTGGATTCATGATGTAAACACAAGAAGTAAGGTCTGGCACACGCACACACTGACACATACCCTCATGCATTGGAGCCTTATCTAGGTGAAAGTTGCCAGTCTGTGAAGATTCCTGTAATATAGGTAGATAATAATAAAGTAGCTAGTTTGAACCCTACATTTGTGGGTCTGGCTATTTGCACCTGGCACCCAGACAACTACCGTAGTATGTCAGCCTTACTGACTAGGAATTTGGGAAAAACTAGTCCAAACAAAATTTGAAGAGTTCCAGGTTTTCAAGGGCGTTCCAAACTTATTGACTATAATTTTTACTGAATGCTACAGCAAATATTACTGATGTAACACAGAAACTGATTGCATTCTATTTATACTAACTTTAACCAGCTAAATTTATATTTAAATGTATATTAAATTTATATTAATAATTTTGTTTTTATTTTCCATTATATCTAACTTCATTCACGCAACATTTTATTAATTTCTACAATTGATTCAACGATCATTAATTTTTGAAAAAACCCACCAATTTTCTGTAAAGTAGCTCAAAAAAAAATCAATGATCCATTGGAAATTATGAAGTAGTCTATCAGTGAACTGCAATTTCTGTATATAAGTAGATTGTTTATCTATCTAACATAGCCTTCTTCAAATTGGTGTCCTGTGGATATGTGGGAGCACAACTTCTTAGTCCTCCAAACTTCATGGGCAATGACAGTTAAAATTCAATATTTTTATTCCAAGCAGAGAGAAATAAATCTCTATGTCTTTGTGTATTCTTATAAACTAATGGGAAACAGCTGGATAGTTAATGGAAAAGGAAGATTTAATCTATTTCCTCCTACCTTTATTACATTTTCCATTTGACAGTTAGCATGCACCTTTACCTGATTTGATGAAGTCTCAGTCTTTTCACTGAGCACCTTGGCAGCCAGAGCTGGTCCTTGGTACTCTTCTTGTGTTGACAACAATGAAGTAGAAGATGAAGATGAAGGTGGATTGATCCAACCATCCATTTTTTCATAGACAGATAATGGCACAGAGGTTCCATGTACTGAAGGAACCTGGTAGGTAGTCCAAGGGTCGGTTGGCAGTCCTTGAAAATCTTGCTCAACGGAAGGAACCTGTGATGAAGTAAGAAGCTGGAGGCGATTGGCTGGTGCCAAGCCCTGCTTCCCATGAAGTGAACATTTCCACCAACCTTCACTCCCAAGGAGATTCTGTTCAACAACTATAAGGATGTCTCCTTTGCGAAAAGCCAGCTCATCTGGACACTCAGCTTTGTTGTCATATAAAGCCTTGGCCAAGGTATTCTGAAGAAAAACAAATTAAAAGTAAGGGAAGTTTCTTCTTCTCATAATTACTGCATTTATATTTAAGTCACAGTAAAGGTTTAAATGATACAGGGTTCAATTCCATATTGTTCTGGAAGTCCCCTATGCCCCATGATTTACTTAAAATTTAATCAACTAGCTTACATAAATTTTGGAGTTTCAAACCTGATAATTATCATTCTTACTCAATCGCAGATACAAGGCTGATGGAGATGCTCTCACAAGTAAATGATCTTCTGTTACAAAAAAAAACACGTAGGCCTTTCTGTTTTAAAAGTACAATAATGTCAATATTGTAATGTGTTTAAATAAATCTGTAGTACACACTGAGCCTGCACAACACATGTGATGTGTGTGATCTATCAGATTTGGCCTGATCCACAAAGTTTTTTTTCAGTTGTGTTTTCTACTCCTATTTTTAAGAGGTAACTTCAAAGTATATGGAGATGTGAATATACATAAAAATGAATAGGCAATATCTTCATAAATCCTTAGGGATAATTTTGCATTATCCCATATATAAATGTTTAAATCTAACTTTGTAAGAGATGCTCTAAAACAGGGGTGTCAAACTCAAGGCCCGTGGGCTGCATCCGGCCCACTGGGTGCTTAGATCTGGCATGTGTGGCCACCCTGGAAACAGTGAAGGACTAGCCCGTGGTGCCTCTGCCAATGAAAATGGAGCTTGGGAGGGCCGTGCACAGCCCTCCCAAGATGTGTTTTCGCTGGCAGAGGGTTACAGGAGGCCATTGCAGCCGAAAACAGAGATTGGGAGCCCATTTTTGCTGGCTGAGTGTTCTGGCCACCACAGGCTCCCCCAACATGAGTGATGTCGAGCTGGCCATGCCCACCCTGGCCACACACCCCAACCCCCCAAAGTCAAACACAACCCTGATGCGGCCTTCAGTGAAATCAAATTTGATACCCCTGCTCTAAAACCACATGTTTTCAGAGCCTTTGCGGCTTGCCAAATCTTGAGGCATATGCACAATACCAGTTTGTAGAAGTGGTTCTTTTAACTCAGTATTCTCTAGTTGCCTGCATAAATGAGGAAATTTTTTCTTGGTTGGTTTCATATTGTCCATAAATACCTTGTCTTTCTTTTTAGGTGGGACCTTTTGAGAAGACCATGCCATTCAAAATAAAAGTTACTATGGCAATAAAAGAAACACAGGAAATGGAGACATTACCATCTAACATATCTGAAACTCATGTGGGAACCCCCAAATTTGATATAGATCAGACTCCCAGAAAGAAAGAAAAAATCTTAAGCTGTGAGAAATAGAATTTGTAAGAGATAAAATTCATCAACCATATATAGATGTGAGAAATGAGTAATGGGAAATTACTATCATAGAATGTGAATGCCAATACATAACCTTTATTAGGTACTAAACTTAGTATTAAAATATACCAATGGGTAAACCAGTCAGCCTTCATACCTTTTCCACAAGGCTATTATGTCTTACCATTCTTAGGAAGTTTTCATGTGTATGTGTGATGACAACTCTAAGAAATGACTCAGGTGTGCAAGGTTACAGCTAGATGAACAAGTTACACCTTACTCGTTTTTTCTAGAAATGTATGTATTCCTTGATTTAGAGAAAAACCTGTTCACTAGTTTTCAGTGTAATGAAAGAAATTTTATTTCTGAAATTGGTACAGTGTTGGTAGTGCAACCCTTACTTAGTTACCTCAGTTGTCAAAGAGCCCTCATTTTCACTGAAAAGTTCTCTCTTGGTTTTCACCAGCTTTTTCCACTTTCATTGAATTCTATCAGAAGAGATCACGAAGTTGCTCCTCCTCTGGGATTTTTTTTTTCAAAAGAAAAATATGGACATCTAGAAAGGCTTTAGAACAAGGGTCTTCAAACTTGGCAAGTTTAAGACTTGTGGACTTCAACTCCCAGAATTCCTGGGCTAAGATGACTGGAGGAGGAATTCTGGGAGTTAAAGTCCACAAGTCTTAAAGCTATCAAGTTTGAAAACCCTTGCTTTAGAAAAACAGAAAATATAAAACAGAAAAAAAATGATGTGTATAGCAGGTGGAAAGCATTCCATCTCTGATGTTTGGTGTATAACAATTAAGTTAGATGTAATATTTCCTTGGGTTCTTCCTAGAAGATATTGTATTTTTATGTGTCATATCTGGTTGTCATTGAGAAAACTATCAATAGGAGTCTACAACAACTTGATGGCACTTAGTCAATTTCATGTCTTGTTTTTGAAGGAATGCATATGCATATCCCTTCTTTGCTTTTCAGATAGAGAGGATAGCTCCAGGCTTCTTAACTGGGTGATTGAGAACTTCAGCAATGGAAAGATTACAAAGGACCAACCAGCCAAGTTTGTTTTCTGTTGGAGACATCTTGCAATCTTGGTGGGCTATTGTAGAGCTAGAATGTCACCCTTGAGAAACAGTTGGAGAAATGTCCTTCCCCTGGAGAAATTCAAAGAAAGCTTCCAGCCAACCTTTTCCTCTCCACAAATTTGGGAGAAAATTTCAGATCTGCTACCTCCAGATTTTCTTTAGTCTGTGCTGTCCAAATGACAAAGCTGCCATAGACAGCAGGTGCTGATGGATGAGTCCCTTAAGCCAGCCAGCTGCTCTTAGGTTTTGGTGGGATTAAATAAGATTTAATTAGCAGACCGACTGGCTTCTATCAACAATAAAGAGAAGAAGATGGTCATCTTGCTATTGGCTTCAAACTGGGCCAGCTTAACCTATGAGTTATTTTTATTTTCAATTGGCAATGAAATCTACAATAACATAGTGGAAGATGTTGACACAAGCAATAAAGTCAAGGCTTTTTAATTTGGGATCTACTGTGGCAGCTCATGGCTGAAGGAATCACTGTTGATCTCTTTGGGAGCTGCATTTGGAATGGAAAGAATACACTCTGTAGTTCACAATACTCAATGAAACTTTGAACCAATCTGATCAGCTCTGTATAATTATAAACCTAGGTCTGACTTCCCAACCTGAACTACTCATTGAGTTACCATGAAGATGATCTGACTTCGTTTCCCATCTTAAGCTTCAGATGTCTTTACTTAACAATATGAGCGCCTGCTCTCAAATAAGATATGAACATGTACTAACCAGAATCATTGACTGGTGAAATGTGCTGTTTGCCACAAGTACTTATTAAAAATGTAAAAGCAACTTCAAAGACTGGTCAAGTTTATTTCATTTCCTCATCAAGTTTACTAAGTATTATTTCTTCCTAATCACAATATTTTCAAGAGCCATTACATCCATATCTTCATGGGCTTTGAAAATTGAGGACGGAAATTCAAAATTTGGGGATCTCAAGCTTTCACCCATCCTTCCAGTTTATGGGCAAAAAAGAATGGGTGGAAAGCAGAATTCATGAAAAGATTTGAGTTCTTGCTCCATTATCAGCTTTTAATACGTCCTGACGGGAGAAGGACTGCAAAGAAAATGTCTAGCATAAGCATCTTGACTTAGAGTAGCAGGGCTTCAAATTGAATCTCATGGGGATTGGAGATGAAGATCCTAAAGTAACAACTTCAAACCAAAATTTGATCATTGTAAGAGGAAGTGAGAGTGTTGCTAAGTGGGAGCCTAATAACTTAATGAAAAATCAGGAAGATCATTGACTCATAAAGTTCATGGCCTTGGCTGTCCATACATTAATGCAGAGCTGAAGGGGAAAAAAGATGCACTTTAACTTTTAAGAAAGAATGCAAATATGCATTTATAGATGTAAGAGAGAGTTGATGGATATCGTAACTGAAAATTTATTAATAAGAATGGAAGCGATAGAAAGATAGCAATGGCACTATATATTAAAATATCTGCACCTATTAGGGTGCACCGAATCTGGTGTTATTGTTAACAAAATTAGATGTTTATTAAATGTTTTAGATGTTTATAGCCCAAGGTTTTGGGGGGCTTTCTGTAACTCTGAACTTAGAATAACTTTGTCACTTTAAATGTACAGTAATCGGCATACATTAAAATGAAATTTCATTGCATACAGCCCTCAAAGGTCACCATCTCTTAATATACACTACATAAACACGACAAAATAAATATGCATATATCTACACACCCACATATGTTATATGACACGGAGAAACAACACAGTCTAGTTCAGATGTATACATGTACATGGCAAGAAAAGCGAATCTTGCAAGTTTACCAGACGGATGGCATAAGGGAACAAAGCTGTTCCAGAATCTGGTAGTCCTGCTAGAAATACTTGAAAACCTCCTCCCAGAGCAGCAGAAACAGACCATAAAGTGGATGTGTGGGGTCTCTAACAATGCTTCGAGCTCTAAGAAAAGGATGAACTTAATTTTTGTTTAAGTAGATTAACAAGGACAGATGTACATTTATCCAACCAATCCTGACTTGAGGCTACTGGTGCCTTCTCATTCTGATATTTTTTTTCCAAGACATGCGGTTAGGTTTGAACAGAGTGTTCACAAGAATGGCAGAAACATGCTTTAAGCCCTGAGAAAGAGGATAGTATCAGGAAGAGATTCAAGCTGGCTCCTCTCTCACTCACTGTGGAGCAGGGCAGGGCGAGGCTGCTCTAAAATACAAAATGAAAGTACTGTTATTGTAGCTATCTCAATAAAGGAGGGGTGTCAAACTCAAGGACTGTGGGCCGGATCTGGACCATAGGGCTGTCCTGGAAAATATAAGGAGCCAGCCCACTACCCAATGTGGCTTCAGCCCGGTCTACCAAGTGCAAAGAAAATGTCTAGCATAAGCATCTTGACTTAGAGTAGCAGGGCTTCAAATTGAATCTCATGGGAATTGGAGATGAAGATCCTAAAATAACAAACCAAAATTTGATCATTGTAAGAGGAAGTGAGAGTGTTGCTAAGTGGGAGCCTAATAACTTACTTAATGAAAAATCAGGAAGATCACTGACTCATAAAGTTCATGGCCTTGGCTGTCCATGCATTAATGCAGAACTGAAGGGGGAAAAAGATGCACTTTAACTTTTA